TTGTTGAAGTATACGCAACGCTCCACCCTTCTTTTTTATGTTGGTTTGAGTTTTGAGACACTCCTTAGAAATTTGTTAACGATGGTGTTTTATCTGATTCAATGCTCCTTTTGTTATAAAGCTGTGATAAAAATGAAGTTTGCTAAGTAAAATGTGAAACTATGCATCGTAGTTCCATATTTTAATAAGAAAGACAAAATCTATGGTAAATTAATAGACAAAACGTTACAGTAAATATAATCGAAACATAGTTGACCAACATTTTTGTTTTTTAGATACTGTTACAATCACTTTAAAGTAAATTATCAAAATATACTTCACTTTAAAAGTAATAAGAATTAAGAAAATTGTTCTTTTGAATATACTGCTTAAAAATCATGGTTTCTTTTTTATAATTTACTAGCGATCTGCCCCGACTTTGCACGAGCGATTTCTGGATCTCGACGACAGTGCCACCTACCTGGTCTAATTGTGAATCTAAGCCACCTACCACCGGGTCGAATTGTGAATCTAAACCATCCATCAATTCCATCAAAATCGGTCCAGCTATTTTCGAATTTTTGAAAGACTAATGGACAGCAATTGATTCAGTAGCGGCGTAATGGGGTGGACGACGGAGGCGTTCCGCCCCGGGTGCCAAGCACCAAGGGGTGACAACGACAATTCACAGCCAGAGAATACTTATAGGCGGCTCCAGTGTCGCAGTGGCTTAGCAATTAGTTGCAGCGCTGCGATGGGGGCACGATACAGGAGAAAATCCTGGTGTAGGCACAGATTACTTAATAGTTTACTAAACAGATACATCACTCCCATACAAAAGCGAAAATACCTACGCTATAATAGCCTACAAAATCTTAATAATAATATCTGCTGTTCGCAGCGAGAGGAAAATGTACCATAAATACGCGTAAAAAGAGTCGAAATTTTGTTGACCGCCGTGCGACTCACGTGCAAGCGCGTCATCGCACGAATGAGCTAGGGTTGATTTATACATTTTTGTCCTTCTCTGAATTCGGTTGAAAATGGTTGTCACTCAATTTATAAATTACAGCACTGTTATGCTTTGTTTCGATGTAACCTTATAGTTAAGAAAAAAAAAGACAATTTTTCATTTGTTTTTTGACTCTGACACCCATCCACTGCACAATAATTACGTGGTTTCAGCATTTCGACGAGTAAGCGCGGGAAACGTGCGCGGTGCAAGCGCTCAGGCGGGAGTGCGGCAGCCCAATGTCGGTTGTATCGTGGGCGATACGCAGAACGGTAGGCATATAACGCAGGGTCTTGAGCGAGTGACGGAGGCCTGGTGTAGGGGTAACTTTTTTATTTAGAAATAAAGATGAATTACTCCGCAAAGACAAACCAATAAATAAATAGCTACCTACTATAATATCTACGTGCATACAAATATTATATCTTAATGTGTATCTCAAATTTATTTTTATTTACTTTCAAACATAATTTCCTAAATAAATGAGTTCAGGTTAGGTAACGCTTAGTCGAGTGGGTAACGCGATCGAAGAAGGTTAGTAAGAGCTCAAGAATATGATAACGCTGCAACCATGGCAGGAGTTCATGGTGGCGTGCAAGCCAGAATCAAAGAACGCAATCCCAAAGAATTTCTTTACGCCTTTTGTTAATCGATAAATATACGTAGGGTGTACTCATTTGGGAGCGTTAATTCAAGTTTAACTTTATTCGGAACAGTAGAAAGAGTTTACATTATCATGCACACATCGATGGGAAATTTTAACGAAATGTAGGCGTATCCGTAAAAGGACTATCAGATACAAGATGGAGTGCTCATCGCGACGCTATTAAACCACTCAGAATAATTTTGAGAAACTTGTATCAATACACGAAGATAAATTTGATCCGCAGAGAAAACGTCGATACGACAGAAGCAGCATCTACACTCTTACCAGCTTTGTGTGACTTCAGTTTTTTATGCCTCCTCTACACTACACGCGAAGTAACTTTGACGAAGTGCTCGTCGAATTCGATCGCAGTTCGAAGAACGTGACCACACACTCGTGCTACTTCGCGAAGAGTTCAGTCGTCTTGTGTCTCCCGCACCCTTAACATGAATAACGTTCAAGAGGCAGCTGCTATAGGTACCTAATTGTGTGAACAGTACGTCAATGCGTTAACTACATATATAAATATAATTATGTAGAAAGCTACATATTTAATATTAATATATAAAAAAAAAATTATTCATAACTGGCGTAAGCCGAGTAGTGGAGTGAGATGTAACTTCATGTAACTTCGAGGTACTTCACGAAGTCCTTTGACTCTGGCGCAAAAAACCGACAACGATCGGAAGTCGCCCGAGGCCGAAGCGAGGTTACATGAAGCGAATCGAAGTACCTCTCTACACTATTCGCCTCGTCCAACATCGATCTACTTCGCGAGTAGTGTAGAGGAGGCATTATGCTATCTTTCCTTTTGGAGTGAAGTCCTAAAAGAAGTTAATCAGACTCAAAAGTAAATACAAACATCTGAACTATCACTGGAAAAATGTGTGGTAGAAATCAAAGCCCTAAAATTTTTCTTCAAAGCCAACATATTGAAATAGTGAAATAAGCTGAAAATGAAAAAAAATGAAAATGTTTATTTGTCTCAAAACAGTTACATGAATTATAAATGAGACAGCGACAGAGACAGTTAAGCTATTAACTATTCTACAAAAAAATGTAAGGACTTGGACATTTCGAAGGAAGAAGAGGAAGGAGGAGATTTCGAAAATGTTTGCGAGGAGAAATGGCCCAATATGTTGGACTAACGTTGCCAGAGGAGCTGCAGAGAGCCATGTTAGAACGTCTTGACAGATTTTATGAAAAAGTAGACCATCGTTACAGGGCAATGGGTGACATTCTCGTAACATTTACTGTTGTTCAGCCTTAAACTCTGCTAACGGCACCAGAAGATCTTCGTGTAATAGTTCCAAATCTGACAAAAATCTACAATAAATTTTCTGCAGAAGACATAATTTTGAAGATTTTACAACTGAGACGCCACTTGAACGCCGATAGTATTTCTTCCCAAGAAGCGATTTAATGTACTTTCTTGGAGCTTCTCAGATTAATCGTAAAACGGGGCTATTCTGAATCTGTTCCGAATCCAGCGCTGTGTTTAAGATTTTATTTTTACTATTTGTGTTTCGATAGCTTCATGTGAAAGAAGCTTTTCAAAACTAGAGTTAATAAAATCTTACTCAAGGTCCACAATGAGCCAAGTGTGACTAACGAATCAATCCATTTTATCTATCGAAAAGGACAAGAAAGTAAATGTTGATAATATAATATTTTAATTTCAAACTCATTTAATTTAGAATATTTTAGCAAAGTAAGGTCCCGTTAGCGTGTTTAGCATTTTTTGTTTTATTTTGGGGGTGCTTGATAGAAAACCGCCCTGGGTGCCAATCCACTCTACGCCGCTACTGGATTGATTTTTATATAAAGAAATTACATATTAACCAGTAAATTTATTTTTAATAACAAATAAGCACAGCAAGCAAACTAAATATCAGTGTTACCTTTGTCATCCTTAAGATTTTATCACTACATTAAATGTAGTCATATAAGATGCAATTCATATTATAATGACAAAATCTATAGAAAACTGTTACTTTTTTTTACAAAATGAGGGTTGGGTTTATAAATTAGTACTGTATTAAGGACAGATAATCTTTTATTTTTTGATGTGTTTGTGCTGTGCGCTAAGTAATTACTCCATGTGTCTTGTTGGCAGTATGTGACTGAAGCATGTTCCTTCGTCAGAACAACCAAAAAACACAGGAAAAGCCATTTACACCTCCCCCTTCAACCGACCCTCCGATCCTCCTGGGTGTTAGTTAAAACAAAAAAAACAGATTTCTTCTGCTCACGGTGCATGCTACAGAGCATGCTCTCTAGCATACATAACATAATATTATCATTTTAGTAATACCAGTATAATATTTATATAATAACAGTATATAATTTATTTATTCTGATTAGCAAACATCTATCCCTTGGGATCATTGTGTATTATCTAAATTTCACTATTAGCTTCTTTAGAACAATTATCTTTAAACCGTGCGATATTATGTCTTTTAGGTAATAATTGGTCCAGTTAAAAGAAAATAGCTATTACTAATGCTAAAATTTGAAAGTGTATTATATAATCATTGAATTTGTTTTAGTGTGTTTTTAAAAATATTATCCAGTAAAGCAGATATTGTTTAATGTCTATATTTTTGTTGTTTTTTTTTTCTTCAAATATGAACATTTTAAATTGATATTACTGTGTGTGTGTATGTGTGTGGTACATTCAAGATTTGTTATTAATGAATGTAAAATTCATTATTCCTGAATATTTTGCATATAAAAAATAAATAGTTTTATGAAAACTTAATAAATATTTGAGCTTTGTTATTTTCAGTAAGTTTTTTATCGTTTACCCTACATTTAAGATTAATTTTAAATTTCCATAAATACACTCCAATCTACTAGTTTATATTTTTTATTTAACGTAATTTGAATGAAAATTTTATATAACATATAAATTGTCACTAAAATCTAAAACTATTATGTTTCAATGTTTAGAATAGTATTATAAAATGACTTTATAATCTAATATTAATAATCTTTAGATTTTCATATGAATATTACACTGAATGCTTTGCATTAATGATCAGTACATAAAATGCTTTAAGCTAAAGAATCCTAAAAATACATATACATTTCGCTGCGAGATGCTAGTAATCCCATATAAACTTACATACTATATATCCATGATGATAGAACTGACAGTACAGTATTGATAACTTGTGAGAATTTCTTATACCTCAAAGTTACCTTAAGAAGCTTCTAATGACTAAATTTTGTTTTAAAAATACAAAAATAAGAGTGTCTTCGACAATTTAGTATTTATATGAACACTTGTCTCTAAATAGCTTTGGAGGTACATAGAACAGCCTTTTGATTTATTATTTATCTATTTTCTTGGTTTCAATCTTACACGTCATTTAGTCCACCATTGTTTTGTCCTCCTTTGACATTGTCAAGTATTTTGTTAACAAACTCTGAGGTATGGCCAGCTATTTTAACTTCTGAAACAAATGTTTCAATTAAATCCGAAACACAAAAAAGATTGTCAGTAGGATTGCACGTAGGAAGTGAAAATTTCTTAGCTTCACAAACTTGTAAACATTATTTTTGGGTTGTTAAGAACTATTTTATTAGGATATATTTTTTATTAGAAATTATTTTTCTCAACTTAAAATTTTTATTTATTAGACTCTGACATAAAAAGGAATAATTATATTTTTTTAATACAAACAAATTTATAAATACATATCAATTTTATAAAATTTAATCAATTGGATTTTCAACAACACTTTCATCAATTTTATGTATCTGAGCTTGACGGTCAAGCGAGTTCAGTGCTCCTTCCCCATCCCAAAAGTGCCAAAAGAAGTTTTCACTTCAAACATCAAAAACAATTTGTTGATTAGGTACAAACCTGTAGCTGTGTTTATTATATTTTTGATATGTGAGGACCAGTCAACGTTGTTTTCTGGATTTGTTACTCTATTGCTTAATATTTGTTTCATTTGTGTTATTCCATTCAATAGACGCTCTGAAAGAAATATATTTATATAAATAACTAATATGGCGTGTGGGGGCGCAGTAAGACAATCCATCACTCTACTTCAGCCCGATGGTATCGTAAAAATAAAAAATGGGATATGCTAGACAAAAATCCTCCCTACGTATCTGTGACTGTGACTTATAAGGGCTACTAAAGTATAATACGATGTAACAAATATGTTTCCCTCGTCAGTACTAACATACATACCGGTTGTCCCATTAGTCCCACAGTCAACACTTAGAATTGATTAAGTGACAATGACAGAAGAACTGCAAATGATTTATTTCTTAAAAATAAATCCTCCGCTATATTCACCCTTGTAACTTCTCATAATTTCTACCATACAGAATGTACCAGTTTAAAATTAAATCTCAATCGAATGATATCGCCGATGTGAATTTATTTGTGACGCTGACATATCGACCAATATATAGTATTTGTAGCTGTGGTCGTATTACGTGATTAATTATTCTGTATGTGGTAGAGCCACACTGCAGCTATATTATGATTGTAGCTCGAATGGGTCGGCTCGACCGGGGTAGGACCACGATCTCACAGAATACCAGCGTAAAATAGCAGCTTAATGCTGCTGTTTTGTATGGTGAGTGTAGAGAACTGGAGACCCTTTTTACTGGAAACTAGGTGTTCTATATTAGCCCTCAGGGGTGACAACACATCTGCATTTTGATTGTTAATTGAGGATAAATGTAGATGTCTATGGGCCACAGTAGCCACTTACCGTTAGGTGGACTGTGTGCTCATTTGTCAACCTGTGCTATAAAAATATCTTTTTTTTAGTTCTTATTGCATAAAGAGTTAGGTTACACCTAAATAGGTTGAGACGAGTACCACTGTGTTTGTGCATAGACTTGTAGATACATATAAACTCCTGCACTGTAAATAATCTCTGACCATTTGGAAGTTGCTATAGTGCTATACTGAATAAAAAGATATATTTTTAATAAAAAGTTTTTACATTATATTTTTATAAATCTATATAAAAATGAATCGCTGAATGTGTTGCTAAGCGCAAATCTCGAGGGCAGCTGAACCGATTTCGTTAATTCTTTTTTTATAATATTCCTTGAAGTACGAAGATGGTTCTTACGGAGAGAAAAAATTAAAAAACATTTTTCTATATTCCCATACAAAAGATTCGTAATAATACTTAAAAGTCAATTTGAACTTTAATACCATACCATAAAGTTTAAGTGTTAGTGGAGTGACGTTAGTATCGTATAAATATTAATGTCAATATTTATACGATGGTAACATTACTTAAAAACAAAATTAGGGTTCCGCGCAAAAAAAATTGATATCCATGAAATCGTAGTAAATTCCACGCGGGCGAAGTCGCTGGGCACAGCTAGTAATAAATAAATTTCAACTTACTGTGCTCTTGCTGCAAGCCATACAGTTTCAATTTGTTTGCTTCATGTTGTGCTTTTTTCTTTAACCTGCAAGCTCTTGAAGCTAATTTATTTTTCTCTTTCCTTGTTTTAGGTCTTGCATTAAAGGGTAGCTCACTAACGGGTATCATATCGTTAATAATTTTTCCCAAATTATCCAGTTCAAGACCTATCAAGTATAATTTTCTTGGATTCGGTGTTAAATCATTACCATCGCCTTTTCTTGCTTTACCACTGAAATTATATTAATTATTTATTTTTTCATCTATCTTATCAGTATTAATCAAATTGAATGGACTAACTTTTTTTTAATTAAATTTCAGCTATGGGACAAATATAATAATAAAAATTTTGTAAATAGAAGAAATTTTCATAAAGAAACTTTTATCTAATATCTTTCTGAGGCAATTAGCATGTTGTCCCGCCTTCAACTGACTTCAAAAAAAAAACTCATTTCAAATGTACGTAAATATATTATGTTTTTGTTTTTGTATTGTTACGAGCGAGGTGAGTAAAAATGCCTCAAGCCATGTACAATCATAAAAATCAAAAATCGGTAAGCTTCTTCGGAGAGGTCTTCAATATTCTCTGACGTCGTAAGTTGATTTTTTGTTGTCGCTTCCCGTAGTAGATTTCAATATCGAATTATCGAAATTATTAATTTAACGATCGCCAGTGCACGTTTTTAAACCTCATAAAACAAAAGTATAATAATATAACTTTTTTATGAGAAAATGCTAGAACAATCGTGGTGAACAATATTATGCAAAGGATAAAAGGCTTTAAACACGTAAACATAAGTTTGCGTCTTGCTTGTTTCAACAAGGTTGAGTCTAAGGGCTGGGTATTGTCTATCCTTACATATTTTATTAACTTGCCAGGGAGCATTGATCCTTATTAAACAGACGTAAAGTAGTGGTAGCGCAAGAATAAGCAATTCCCTATATGGACCTGTGGGTATCGCATTCGGCGAAACAGGGAAACAAACCAGGAGATTAGGCTGCATTTTCATAATATAACTCACCTGCCAACCTTGGCAACTATGACAAATATTGCCCCTTAAACGCAATCTATGGAGGAGCCCTATGTTGAGCGATGTACTTATGATATGTTGTAACGGTAAAAAGGAGTTTCTGACGGGAACTTGCCCACCGTCAGATAATTGATCCTGTATAGTCGTTTATATTATTATAGTTTGAAGTGGAATTTGATACGTAAAAGTGGTGCAATTTTATGTAATAATTGTCTGTGTCAATGACATAAATTTCAAGACTTTTTATTCAACTGGGCGGTTTGAGTAGTATCTTCAACACTCGTTAAGCTGTCGTCAAAATCGCCCAAAAACTTCGCAATGCGTCATACAACAACATCATTGAATTTATGGATGATAATAACCCCTGGGAATGAAGTGATTATTACAAAGCGATCTAACCGACACCATTTCCAATTTTTTTTGTGTAGTTAATTGTGTAAAACAACATGATTGCAAGCTGTTCTTGTGTAGAGATGTTCTTGATCTTTGTTGTATTTGAACTTATTTTATCAGACTTTAATAATAATTACGTAAATATAATAACCCCATATCTTCCCGTGGGTGTCGTAAGAGGTGGCAGAGGGAGACTGAGGCAGAAGATGGGCAGCAGCATCTTTCTGGTAACAGCAAAACAACAATAAAAAAAACCACTGCGGACGATATGAATGACAAGCTCGTGGAAACTGTCTATGCGATCGGAGCTAAGTTTTGCAAGACCCGCCGCAGAAGAACCAAAAACTCTCCGATCACACTCTTAATCTCATGGCTGTTAGACGGGAAATGAAGCTGCAGTCTTCAATAAATTTGACAACTGAACAGACAAATCTCCAAATGCATGCGGCGGGACTTACGCAACTTTAATTCTGCTCGTATAGAAGAAGCGATCGAGCGGAACCAGGGCTCCAAAGTCTTAGTTAGAGATCTATCAGCCAGAAAGAGCCAACTGTCGAAGCTGAAGACCGAGTGTGGCAGCGTCATTTCCGGGAAATCTGATATTTTGAAAGAGATTGAGAGGTTCTATGGGTAGCTGTACCCATCATCGTTGGAGCCACACGCAAGTGTGAGTGACGATCCAAGAGCAAATCTTATCGGACACTATTCCGATGATATTCCGGACTGTCAGTCTGAGCGAGATTAGAATGGCTCTCCAGCACCTTAAGAACGGCAGGGCCACAGGCGAGGATGAAATTACAGCGGAACTTCTGAAAGCAGGTGGAAAACCGGTACTTGAAGTCCTTCAGAAGCTCTTTAGTTCCGTCTTCCATGGTGGCACTACACCGGAGGCGTGGAGCAGAAGTGCGGTCGTCTTATTCTTCAAGAAAGGCGGTAACGCTCTTGAAGAACTACTGACCAATTTCCCTTCTGAGCCGCGTCTACGTACTGTTTTCGAGAGTCATTACGAATCGTCTCGCATGCAGACTCGACGACTTCCAGCCTTCCAAACAAGCCGGTTTCCGAAAAGGGTTTAGCCTCATAGACCACATACATACCCTTCCGCAAATTGTACAGAAGTCCGAGGAGTACAATTTGCCACTATGTCTGGCGTATGTGGACTATGAGATAGCCTTAGATTCCGTCGAAACTTGGGCGATGCTACAGTCCCTTTAGCGGTACCAAGTTGACTGTCGGTATGTCGAAGTGCTGAAGTGTTTGTACAGTAGGGCTACGATGGCTATCCGAATACAGAACCGGTGTGACGGATGACGTTATATCCCCGAAACTCTTCACCGCTGCATTGGAAGACGTTTTCAAGCTTCTGGACTGGAAAGGATACGGTATTAACATCAACGGCGAGTACATCACTCACCTTCGATTTCCGACGATATAGTCCTTATGACAGAATCGCTGGAGGACCTAAGCACTATGCTCAATGACCTCAATAGTGCCTCCCAACGGATAGGTCTTAAGATGCACATGGACAAAACAAAGTCATGTATAACGTCCATGTCAAACCTATGCCGGTAGTTGTTGGCAGCACTACGCTCGAAGTTGTTGATGAGTATGTTTACCTGGGACAAATAGTCCGACTACGTAAGTCCAACTTCGACCGAGACGTCAATCGACGCATTCAACTCGGCTGGGCAGCGTTCGGGAAATTAAGGCACATCTTCTCGTCAGGTATACCTCAAAACTTGAAAACGAGACTATACAACCAGTGCGTATTGCCAGTGATGACCTATGGAACTGAGACGTGGTCCTTCACTGCTGGCCGGATGAGGAATCTCAAGGTCGCTCAGCGAGCTATGGAGAGGGCTATGCTCGGAGTTTCTCTGCGTGATAAACTTAGAAATGAGGATATCCACAGTAGAACCAGAGTGACCGACATACTTACGGATTAGTAAGCTGAAGTGGCAGTGGGCCGGCCATATACCTCGAAGAACCGACAACAGATGAGGAAAAAAGGTTCTCGAGTGGCAACCTCGTACCGGTAGGCGAAGTGTAGGGCGACACCCCACTAGATGGAGTGATGACTTGGTAAGACATGCAGGAAGTCGATGGATGCAGGTGGACCGTGCTTTGTGGCATTCCTTGGGGGAGGCCTATTTTCAGCAGTGTACTTGTGAAGGGGTGTAATGATGATGATGATGATGAATAATTATTGATGTAATTACAAAGTAATTTATATATCACCTGTGTTTAATACCCCGGACGCTGCAGCTTGGGCTAAAGACAGGATCAGTGACTATATTTAATACATGGGGATCTTCCGATTTCTTTTTTAAGATCAGTCGTTGACCTTTTGGACCTTTGGCTTGGACATTGTACTGCCAGAAGTATCTCTCTTTTTTTGAGTGACTGCGAGCATGTTTATTTTCAGAACATTCGTCATTGGATTCTAAAAACAACAAATATTCTTTTGTCTAAAATTAATTCGAAGCTGTAAAAAATATAAATGTAAAAATGTAAATGTAATTTGCAGTGTATTATTAACATTATAATGTTCAATTTAAAACAGTATTCTTTTAAGGGACCTGTGTACCAAAATAAAAATCGGCATATCTATCATGTGGTGCTGCAGCTAAGCTCAGCTTTAGAAAGGGCAACCACAAATATTGGGTTCATGTTTTTATGGTAGAAAGAGTTAGTAAGGAGGCATCAAATACCAAAATATTAAAGTGCAGAAATCCATAGTGTTTAGGATATTTTTTATACACAAAAATGTAATATAACCACACCAAAAAACGTTAACTAAATGCAATGATACAAAGCTAAACGACAAAATGTAATTTTACAAAATCAAAATTATTCAAACAGTATCTATGGCATTTGTGAATGAAAAATAAATCATGAAGGTATCTAGTCCAGTAGTTTTTTAATTAAAAGGAATATCCTATCGTTAGTTTTAAGCAAAGAAAAAATGTTTAATCTGCAAGTTTCTTTTCCTTGACGCAGACTGCTTAATTTTGATATACTAGTAAGTATGGAGTAAGATGAATAGAAAAAACTATTCTGTTACGTTTACATCTCAGTATAACAGCTTTATCGGGATAAAGTGACATACTAGCAATGTAAGCTTTGTTGTGCTATTGCACTTGCACGAATTTTAAAAACTAAATCGTTAGCTGCAGTATTAGTCACTTTCTATGGAGTATTGCATACAAAACATGACTGACGGCAGTGTAAGTGCAAGTGTAGTTTCTTTTTTTAACTTTTATTGTAACTGAATCTGTGTGTCAATCATCTAAAATTCACATGTTTGAAAGTACTATAACAGAATGTGTAGCCAGTTACTAGTAGGTGAAGGTCCAAAGGCCATGGTTGTTAAATAAAAAAAAATATCCTGAAGCCAGTGTAACTAACGGCAGGATATTCCTTAGTATTTAACAGCCACTAGTGATAGACTACACACTTCCATTAAACATTAACAAAATAGTGAGACATATTTGCCATGTATGATGCCACAAGCCATTTTGTTCTTCGTTAATTTTTTTGATGCTCCATGTTTTTATTTCTTGCTACTACACTAGATAGTGTTATTGTAAAGTCAAAGGCGCAGAGGGAAGGAGCCCCACTTCTCAAAAGGCCGGAGAGTCACCTCACAAGATACTATCCTAATAATTAAGCAGACTTCTATTTGTTACGATTTCTTGAATTTTAGGTAACAAAATATATTTAATAAAAATTTCAAAACTAAGCTTTGAATTCCTCTGAAAGGGATCTTTCTTCCTCCTTCTACAAGAGATGTTGTGTAGACATAAACACAAATATTTTTTTCTCAAAAACTATGATGTTCCGCACTTTAATTTCTCTGCAGTTGAAAGCCCATTCCTTGCCCCTACGCGTGTTTGCCGTTTATAAAGCACTTCCTGCAGCTATGCATAAAAATGTTTTACCAGAATGTAAAATTTTTAGGGTTTTGTACCCAAAGGGTAACCAACGGGACCCTATTACTATGGCTCCGCTGTCTGTCTGGTTGAAATTTTCACAGAATGTATATTTCTTTTGGCGCTATAACAACAAATAATAAAAATAAATTAAAAATTAAAGGGGCTCCCCTACTAGAAACAAGTTTTACGATGGTACGGAACCGTTCATGCGCGAGTCCGACTCGCACTTGGCCGGTTTTTTAAATATCAGTGTGACAAACAAGGTACCTAACACCTGATGGGAAGGGACAACTGTAGCTATGGACATCTGCAATCTGCATTAACAGTACAATAACATTAGTTTATGTAAATATATATTTACCATCGGAAGAAAAATCTTCATATCTATCACTGTCTTCATCAGATTCTGCATCTCTATCTTCTTCGTCTTGAGAAAATTCACCATTTCCAGGGCTAAGCAGACTACCAGAAAGAGAAGAAGCAGATCCAGCCTCTGCCAAGGAACTAGTAGAAAGCAAGTGCTTTCGTGGTTCTCGGCGTTGCCATATCTAAATTGAAATAATAGACATAAATCAATTTTAGCTTTTCTGTTATTGATGTGACATATTTCATAACAAAGTGAAACAGAGGAAAACAGAGAAAAACAAAAAAGTTCTTCTTTTCCTTTTTGTGGCAGCTTGGTAAAGGAGAATTAATATCTATAGATCGAGAAATATAAGGAGTAAGTTAATCATTAAGGGTAAATAGTTTGGGACAGTTGAAAAAAATATGGTTTGTGGAACCTTCATCTAAGCCAGATTCACACAATGAGCTATCCCTAACTCTGATTTTTGTCAGATGTAAATGTGTACAAGCATGTCCAATTTTCAATCTACTGATAATTGAAGTTGCATGTTTATTTGCTTTATTAAATTCAAAAAACCAAGCCTTGGGAGGAATAACCTCTTGGATGGCAGCATAGTGCTTACCCTTAACATTTTTGGATCCTTCCCACAATTTATTCCAATTTTCATTCAGTTTCCTTTTAGCTAGCAAAATTAGGTCATGTGAGCTCCAGTATAGTCTTCATCAGACAGTTTGGAAGCATATTTAAAGGTATTTTTCTACAATTTCTTTTAATTTTAAATTTGCATTTGGAGAATCTTTTTCTATACCTAGATCTAGATGGATGTCAGGTTAGTAAACAATTGTCTCTTAAGAAACATCAAAAAGTGGATTACCTAATTTCACATTGAAAGATTGGGTAAGGAAGCTGAAGAAAAATTACAAAACTTTTGAACAAGCAGGGAGAATCCTTATGGGTCCAGAAACAGTCTGATGAGATATATTCTGAAAGAAGATGCAATTTAGAAATTAGGGGATGATCTGAAAGCTGGCAGATCTATACAAATAAATAAAATTGAAGTGTCTGTTTGTAATGTCAAAATAACTGCTTTTTACTATATGCACACGAAAGTATATACAGTACTTATAACAAAAACACGATTTTAAAATTTTTATCTGTCTTTCTGTCTGTCTGTTTGTTTGTTCCGGCTAATCTCCGAAACGGCTGGACCAATTTTGACCGGACTTTCACTTGCAGATAGCTAATGTTATAAGAAGTAACTTAGGCTACTTTTATTTTATAAAAAGAGTTAGGGTTCCACGCAAAAAATTAAACCCCATGAAATCCAATCCTAATAAATTACGCGCGGGCGAAGTAGCGGAGAACAGCTAGTCTTAAATAAGAATCTCTCTGAAATACCTTTCAATTTTCTCCTCAATCTTAAAGGAGGATCTATGCACTTAACCTGAAGAACATTTATTGGTGAGGATTTCATTGCCCCTGTAATAATGCAAAGGCATTTCGATTTGAATTATGTCCATTACTCTCAAGGATGATTTATTGCAAGGCTCCAAGAGAAAACATCCATAATCAAGGTGGCTTCGTATTAAAGCATTGTACAGTAATTTCTGAGAAAAAGGATGGGACCCCCACCAAGCACCATACAAAGACCGAAAAATAATTTTTTTCGCATTTTTGTGATATATATTCAATATGATGATCGAAGGTCAATTTTGAATCGAAGATAACTCCCAAAACTTTAACATTGCCTCTAACTGGAATAGGTTGATTATCATATACAACAGATATATCGGGACCTCGCCTTTGACGGGAAAAGATCACCAAACTGCTTTTGGCCACAGATAAGAAGACGCCATGATTAGTTAACCATCTTGTAAATAGTTCATGGATGAGTTTAGACGGGAACATGCCACTGTGAAGTTGTCTAAAGAGATGTATAGAGCTAGATCGTCTGCATATTGAAGGACATTACAAAAAGAATTTACTGAAAGTTCTAAATCATGTGTATATATAGAATAAAGGAGAGGACTAAGCACTGAGCCTTGTGAAAGTCCTTTCCATATAGTTTTTGGAGCAAGCAGGAAATTTTGAACATTTATAGATATGGATCTAGAAGAGAAAAAGTTAGAGACATAATTGACTATCCCCACATCCAAATTGAAGTTGTCAAGGTGTGAGGTGTACAAGTGTCGTTCTGTTTTAGGCTATTTCGTACTTCTGAGAGCTGTTGATTTACTTTTTTGTTTACTATTTCTGGTGGTGTTGGTTTTAGTAGTTATAAATCCGTAAGTATTTAGTAATTGTGTTGTTGTATATATATGTAAGTAGTTAAAATAAAATGGAGGAAGATCCTCCCGATCCCGACGGGGTTACATGTGACTCCCATGCGGGTACCAAAAAGAAAAATATGCCTATCGAGATCGATCAGTCGAATCGTAAAAGATCGCAAGCAACCAATAACTCAGTTCATCCACAGAAAAGATTAATTACAGATCCATCTCAACCTGTACCATCTATTCAGACCTCTTATACTCATCCTGACTACATTGAAAAAAAACATAAATACTCTAATAACGACAGTGCGCCCTTTATTGTACATGTAAGTAAGATAGTAGATGATTTATCATCTGGAGTAGTTTTAAAACCGATAAAGTTTGGTCATTTTCTCTACCATAATAATATTAAAAATGTTGTTAGCGACGGTGTTAAGCGAGTAGGGCGCAATAGAATCTCAGTTGAATTTAAAAGTGCAGCAGATGCAAATTGCTTTATTGAGAACCCAGCCCTTGCAGGTGCTAAATATGATGCTGTAATCCCTTCTTATAGTATCACTCGCATGGGAATAGTGAGGCAGGTCCCTGTAGAATGGACATTAGAGGAACTCATTTCATCAATCGAGGTCCCAGCTGGTTTTGGCTCAATCATTAAAGCTCGCCGATTTAATAGAAAATCACTTAATGAAAACCAAAGCACTGTGTGGATTCCCTCTCAAACAGTCCTTTTAACTTTTTCCGGCCAGAAACTCCCTTCTAATATTTATTGTTTTTACAACTCAATGCCCGTTGAGCCCTACATTTTACCACTTATTCAATGTCACAAATGTTGCCGTTTTGGACATGTTACCTCACAGTGTAGATCATCTTCCCGTTGTTTTGTGTGTGCTCAAAATCATGAGGGTATATCATGCACAAGACAGTCTCCCACTTGCCTTTTTTGTTCAGGATCTCACACAGCTAAAGATCCCTCCTGCCCTGAACACTCTAGGCAGCGATCTATTAAACTCACAATGTCACAGGAAAATATTTCCTATCTAGAAGCATCTGCTCGTTTCCCTCAAGTCCGTAGATCCTATGCAGATACTGCTAGAACCCTTCCTTCATATGAGCATCAGACTTCCTGTCCTATTTCAAACCCTCCTTTACCTTCAGTTGTCCCCTCACAATCTCATTCTTACAGGAAGACTACATTCACTCCAAGACTTTCGCCAAATCCAGCATCTAGTCATGGATATGATAAATCTGCCCATGAGGCAATAATAAATACCCCTCCTTCTTCATCTACTAATGGTTGTGCTATAATAGGGCGAAGTATTTCCCCTAATGATAATCTCTGCGAACTGATGGTCTCCATGCTTATAAGTATGCTTTCCCGTTTCAGCGACATGGATCTCCCACTCGCCCTCCGCCAAAAACTTACTGAGCTCATTTCCTTAACAAATAACCTTCCCTCCAATACTTCAGTGGAACTGCCGGAGCATTAAAAATAAGAAAAACGAACTAACATATCTTATTAATAAATACCATCCCCTTATCCTAGCCATCCAGGAGACATGGCTAAAGCCTGGCTCCCATTTTAGGGTCTCAGGCTATTCATGTCTCAGGGATGATAGAAGTGATGGTCATGCTGGCTCTTTCATTCTTATCTCAAAATCAATTACTTATACATTAATTTCCCTTCCTTCTCATAGTCCTTCAATTAATGCTGTTGCAGTTAGAGCTCATAACATTTCTTTCCTTTCTATTTACATTCCCGAACCTAATCTAAATATCTTATCGGAACTTACGAGGATTATATCCTCCATCCCTCCTCCTATGGTAATTCTTGGTGATTTTAATATGCACCATACTTTATGGGGTTCCCATTTTTGTGATCCCTGGTCTTTTACATTCTTAGACATCATTGATGATTTAGATCTCTGCCTCCTTAACGATGGTTCACCTACACGTAGAGTTTCCCCCCTCCAAAATCCTAAAAGTGCAGTAGATCTGTCACTCTGTTCTCCTGCCCTGTCATCCCTTCTTTCTTGGAGAATATTACCCATTTCCCATGGCAGTGATCACTTTCCTATTGTTATCAATCCTCCTAACTCCTATACAGTCAATGTTCCATTCAAACCTAGGTTAAAATATAACACATCCAAAGCAAACTGGCATCTGTATTCCACAGTTCTAGATGAAGAACTTTCATCCCTCCCTACGGTTCAGAAAGAGAATGTTCTTCAGGTGTATTCTACTTTCAAAAATGCTATTTTATCTGCTGCAAATAAGACAATTCCCATTAAAAAACCTTATAAAAATAATGCTCCTTCACCGCCTTGGTGGGATCAAGATTGTTCTGTAGCATGCAAGAAGAGAAAGGAAGCTGAACTAAGATATTCCCGCTCAATGAATTTTGATAACTATATTTTTTATAAAAAAACTGCTGCTGAAACATTAAAATTACTGTCTGAAAAGAAAAAGGCTGGATGGCTTAAATTCTGTGAGTCACTGTCGCCTAGGACTCATCCATCACTGGTCTGGAAAAATATAAAAAAATTCCGATGTTCAGTTTCGGCCCCTGAAAACACAAATTCTAATGATCAGTCTTATTGGCTAGAAAATTTTGCTAGTAAACTTGCTCCTCCTTCAGTACCATCTTACAATGAATATATAGTATTCCAATCACAGTCCCTGCACTATCAACACAGTTTTGACTCTCCTTTCTCTTATGAGGAGTTATATTCTGTTCTTAATGTCCTTAAAGACTCTTCACCAGGAATCGATGGAATCCCTTATTCTTTTATTACTAATAGCAGTGAATCTACTAAAGCCCATCTTCTTTCTATTTTGAATTATATTTACATGTCCGGTATTCCTCCTGAAGAGTGGAAATCCCAAGTTATCTTACCTATTCACAAACCAGGTAAGCCCTACACTGATCCCG